CCAATTCAAGACACTCTGTCCTCAATGCAGCTCCACATTCCTGAGCTCACTTCCTGGTCAGTGCACCCATCACACAAACAGGCACATGGCCAAGGACCTTTGTAGCTTGGTGGGCAGCGCCGGGTGGGGTACTAAGAGACTATTTTCCATCAGGTCTGCCTTGCCTATGATTGACAACCAATGGCAAAGGACTGGTGTTGAGTTGGGTTAGTGGATCCTGATGGGGAACTCTAAGACTCAATCTTCATCAGGTCTGCCTCCCGTGTGACTTCTCATCAGTCACATACGGGCAATGACATCATATTTGGTTAAATGAGGTCATTCATTATCCCTGCCCTTTTGTTTGCATTCTGCAAGAGATTCTCCCGGACAACAGTTGAATTGGACTGGGGATAGAGCCCTGTGTGGGAAACGGTCACATTCATGACAGCTTCCCAACGCAGACATGCCCCATGCTGAGAAGTGGCATCTCTCTGTATGTCACCTGAGAGTTGGACTTAATCATCAGCAGTTTCTGAATCTGCAAACTCATGGCAATTCTTTAGGAATCTGTTGCAGCTATAGTGATAGGTTCTTAAAGTGGAGGTTGCAAGATCTATCTTAATTTGTCTCATGTGTCTGATCTAATAACAAAACTGGTTCAAATGTTTGCCTGAATCACAGGTAGTTAAAGAGGAGAGACCACCAGAAAATTGTTGTGAATGCTGTGAATTGCAGAGTTAAGGAACCCCCTCGACTGACCCTTATAAGCCACATGACCAGAGTTCAGAGAGCAGGAATCACATTGTGGTAGTTGGCTTCTAAATATACAAGTAGCCGTATTAGTTTGTCATCTTATGAAACCGCATATGCTTAGGGTTGAGACAAACTCATACCTGACCTGGAGCTCATCCCTAGCAGCAAGCTTATGATTACTCTACTACTACATTGTGTTTTACATTAAAGTCAGAAAGCTATTAAATACTGCATGCTTACCTTAAACGTTACAGTGGCCTTTGTGCAGTAAAAACCTATGGAGACAACTGGATCTTTGGACAGCTGAGATTTTGTTCCTTGGAATGCATTTCCATCTTCTGATCCCATGTAGCCACCTTCCCCATCATTATCATTGCCGTAACTTACAATAGCAGGAACAAAAGACCAGGCCCATGACACCCATCCTTGCTGTTCATCATCATCTTGCATAGAGTACAGGTCTTGTGCTGGATACTGTATTCCTGCTACTAGCTCTTCTTCAGTTCCTGTAAAAAAAAGACAAAAATAAACAATTACTACATTATGTGGGATGCACACAAACTACACCCTCGTATACAAAAAAAATGCATGACTGTCAACGGATGGCATATTCTACTTAATTTCTACAAGGGTTAGACATTCTCCTTTACTATGAAGATACAATGCCTTCTCCCTCCCAGCACCTCTGCCATTCAAAGTAGACAGGCTCCCTGCTTACAGCATAAGTAAAGGCTTAAAAAAACAATGTTACACTTTTTACATCCCCACTGTTGATAACCATGCTGCATACTATTTGCAATAAATCAGTGTAAATGCCCTTTTTCCCCTACTTATTTGGGACAATCAAGTGATCACACTGCTCTGTGTGCTGTGTCTTAGTAAGAGGCTCAACAAGGGAGCTGAATTCACAGAGCCATGATGTCACCCGCTGTCTTCCAGCATACTAGCATTTGTCGAAGGGGTACAGAGTGCCCTCCCACCAGGCACAGCAAGTCTCTCATGGAAACATAGCAGGCGGAACTGTGCGGTCATGTGCCAAGATGGCTATATATATATATACATATATATACATATACACACACTCATTATACTGTAAGTTCACACATACATACAACTGCAAACAAACACAAGCTATACATAAGTATCTCCCCTTGTTCAGGAATTCAAGATGAACTCTATGACCTCTGCTGACAAGATCAGGTCTGAGACTAGTGAAGAACTTGAGTTGTATGGAAACCTACAAATCAAACTAAAAAAAAATAATTCTGCTGACACCACAAGACAAGGCTACATTGATCACTTCTCTATCTTGACATTCCTTTATATATTGTCTGATACTATATCACTTACCTATGAAAGGTTATCTGATAAAATAAGTGAAAATGATAACATATTATTCTTAAGAATTCGGGCAATGAAAACCTAAAATGACACTTCATTGGTATTACTGCAGTGTAAACGAATAAATCAAGGCTCCTACATCATGCCTGAGTTTACAATGTCTGGTTGCTGAATGATCTCCACAGTAATATAGATAAGAAGTGACACATTACACTAATGGTCATATCCCCCTCTCTGCAGTGCATTTTTGTGGTGCCTTGCATTTTAGGTGTATTTTACAAGCGTTTTAGGCACGTTAGAATCAGGGCCAGACTTGCATCTCAGGAGCCTATAGGCAGAGGATTCTAAAGCCCCCCTATTTACAGTATTAGCGGGTGGTCACATTGCATGTCACTGTGCCTGTGTTTGATGCCGCAACAAGACCACAGCAGGTAGCTGCCCATGGCCACAACACAAATGTATGCACCATAAATATAAATGCAAGCACATTATAATGCCGCACTGCCACGATATAATGCACTATATTAATATATATAGTTCAATTTACAACAATCATAGGTGTGCACAGCCTATTGCATTAGGGTGTGCACCTCAAACACACGTGTGTATATATTGCCAGTTAAAGAAGCACAGTGCTGAATAGCAAAAAATGGCCTGGTCATGAAGGGGGACCTTCCAGAGGTCAAATGATTAAGCTCATTTTTACCTGTCATTTTTAATTGCTCTCACATGTGTTAAAATAAGGCTTTGAATCTGATCATTTGTGAGCATAAAAATAACAAATTGTATGTATGGCTGAGGTAATTTTTTTTTTTTTTTTTGGGCAAATGGTTTGTTTACAAATGAGTTTTTAAAGCCAGTTCTGTTGAGGAAGGAGGGCAGTGGGCTGTCAAAAAGGGACCTTCAAATGCTGAGCCCTACTGTTTACAAAAAGAAGAAAAAAAATGATTTATATTTATACTTTTATTTATACATATAAATACATATATACACACATATACATATATACACACACACACATACACTGCATCCAGAAAGAATTCACAGCGCTTAACTTTTGCCACATTTTATGTTCCAGCCTTATTCCAAAATGGATTAAATTAATTTTTTTCTTCAACATTCTACAAACAATACCCCATAATGACAACGTGAAAGTGGCCCGTAGTCACTCTTTTGTTATGTGGGCTGTGTGCTTAGGGTCACTGTTCTCTTGAAAGATGAACCATCACCCCAGTCTAAGGTCCAGAGCGCTCTGGAACAGGGTTTCATCAAGGATGTCTCTGTAGATTGCTGCATTCATCTTTCCTTCAATCCTGACTAGTCTCCCAGTTCCTATTGCTGAAAAACATCCCCACATGCCACCACCATGCTTCATTGTAGGGATGGTATTGGCCAGGTGGTGAGCGGTGCCTGGTTTCCTCCAGACATGGCGCTTGGCATTCAGGTCAAAGAGTTCAATCTTGATCATACAGACCGGCACCCCTCAAGGAAGGGTTTTAATGAAAGCACATCAAAGATGCAGCACGCAGGACTTTTTTTTTGTTTGTTTTTAGTTTGTTTTTTTACACGCATCGCACCTAACACAGACAAAAAAAATGCACTAGTGTGAATGGGGCCTAACTCCAGGCAATGCTTTTTATTTTGTTTTGGACAGAGTAGGGACAGTTTGAGAATGCCAGGTTTCATTACAATCAATACCTAAAAGAAATCTGTACTGAAAAAGAGAAAACCATGGATTGTACTGATGCCCTCTTTCTAGAAATGCTAGGTGCTTAGCTGTTGAGAGACAGACCTAGAAACAAGTAACCCTAGTGAAGCAGAGAAATATCTTCTGATTTGCATAGTTGCTTCAGGTTGGTGACTAAAATTTACAGCAATGTAATTTTGAACAAAACATCAAACTTCAACAAAGGCAGTCCATTTAAATTTCTCACTACAAGTTTCCTGTATTATTTTTCAGTAAAAAAAAGTATATAAAAACGGGCCAATAAAAATAAATAAAAATAAAATAATATAATTTCATAGCAGTTTTGCGGCTCCCAACAAACCTGGGTCAGCTAAGTTAATTTAAAAAAAATGAATAATAGGCAACAGATCCACTGCCATCCAAGAGGAGGTTAATGGTACCCATACATATGAGAATTAGTTAAAAAAAATCAGTCATTTGGACAGTTTGTTCGTCCAGTTAATGGGGACAAATCAAAAATTGATAGTGATGTTTTTGAGGCAAAAAAATCAAAGGAAAAGTTTGGAAAACTGCTGATGAATGGACAATGCATTGAGAGGTTAATGTGCTTCTCGCCCATTAACCACTTCCAGACCGGACACTTTTACCCCCTTCCTGGCCAGGGCAATTTTCAGCTTTCAGCGCTATCACACTTTGAATGACAATTACGCGGTCATGCAACACTGTACCCAAACAAATTTTTTACCATTTTTTTGAGACAGATAAAGATTTATTTTGGTGGTATTTATTCACCGCTGGGATTTTTATTTTATTTGCTATGTAAATGAAAAAGTCCAAAAATTTTGAAAAAAAAAAGTGTTTTTTTAATAAAATTTTTCAAATAAATAATATTTCATCATAAATCTTGGCCAAAATTTATTCCGTTATCTTTTTAGTAAAAAAAAATACAAATTAGTTTCTAACCAAAAATTATAATTTTTAAATATTTTTTTTTTTACATTTTTATTTTTTTTATATTATTTTTTATTTTTATTTTATTTTTTACATACTGTCACCCTAGCAGTACACTGTCACCATGGTGACACTGTACTACTTGTGGGTTGTGATGAAGATTTTTTTTTTTTTTTTTACACTGATTGCTTTTACACTCATATAGGATGTAAAAAAGCAATCATTTCTCCTCTCTGTCTGCATTCTTGCACTCATTGAGTAGTACTGAGTGAGCTGTGATTGGTCACAGCTTGTCACATGGTACAAGGCTGTTGTGAATAGCCTTGTACCATGTGACCTCTGTGATCATTCACAGATTTCACACGTAGTAAGCAATGATGTCACAAGTGACATCTTGCTTACTACTTTGCATGTGATCACTGATTGGCCAATCAGTGATCACATGATCGGGACCTCGTACAGAGGTCCCGTCCGACGATCGGTGTTTCACTGTGTCCGGAGGACACAGTGGGCACCGGATCGCGGCGCTGCGTGCTCCCAGGGAGCGTGCACAAGCAGGGTGCAGGGAGGCCATTTATAAACAGCCACCCGACCCTGCAGTGCCACCGTACGGCCGTTTATATACAACGGCCGGTCGGGAAGTGGTTAAAAATCAAACTGTTGGTACTGTGCATATGTGAACCAGAAGCAAAAAAACCGACAATAAAATTATTTATGTCCACTATATGATTTATCATTAGAAATTTGATCATTACATGATGGGAATATCGTTTGCTCTCACAATTATGTGTTTGTTTTATGAAAACCCGTTTGAATTATTTTTCGACTAATGTATGTCGAGCATAAAGGTACTTATGTAAGCATCAAAAGAACTGCTCTAGTTCCTCCAATGTTGTTAATAGATTCAAAGATCAGCACAAGAGTTCTTTTGCAACCTTTACTTGAAGAGTTAATCCGTGTGACAGATGGGCTTGGGAGTACACCATGACTTACTTTGGTTAGGTGGGTAGCTGCTCATTCCTATCATAATCAGGTATGATTGAAGTCAACAGAAGCAGTACATTTGTTTAAAATATGCAAATAGTTCTTTCTTAAAAAAAAAATGTTTTTTCATAACTGGTATGCCTCTTTAAAATACTCACACAGTATTACATATCAATACATACCAGTTACATTATTGTTAAAAAAAAAAAAAAAAAGGTTGTGAAATGTGGCAATATATGCATTAGATGAAAGGTAACATTTGCTCTGCTATGGAAATACTGCAGGTTTCCCTCTCTTCCTCCACATACAAGCATAGTCAAACAAGTCTAACACATACAAACATAACCATTGACATCACCTCTGACTAGCAAAGCAACCAGCCACCTTAGGGTGAGAAAGCAATTCATCTGTTCCTGCTTGTTGCTTCTAGATCAGAAAAAAAAAAATCACTCCTGACAGACATATTATGAACCACCTCCAAACCTTAAAAGTAAAGGTTAAGGAGAGCACAGCTGTTTGCCAAGACACAGGAATGGCCTCATTTGTGTGCAGAAAGACAACTTACTTACTGAATTGATTTACCCTCTACAGTCAGAGGTTCTGCCACACGGGTTTAAAATAATCCACAGGTCATTCAGCAATTGTACAAACCTCAATTTGGAGCCAATAACTTCTAAATTACAATTAAGACCATTTAGGGAAACAAACCCTAAAATAAATAGCCAAAATATTAGGCTGAAGAAAGCAAAGTCTTTGCAAACTTTGTCTTGCCTAATGTAAGTTATAAAGGTAAGCTGCTGTATTAAATAAACAAGGTGTGGTGGAAATATTTTGCTTTTCCCATGCACTGATAACATTTTATTTTGTAGGATCTCACCAATAAACATTTTACTTTAGATTTCTTTCCTAGCTCAGTTGGAGTGGAGGGTGAATCGGGAATACAAGAGGCAGAACAAGTGAAGCCACCTAACTCTCAATATCCACATGGTAATACTAAAAATGAAAAAGACTGGGCCTGCTTTCTTTTGGAGGATAAAATGTATACACGTACAGTAAGTCATAGTCACATATTTATTAAGTCCAAATGGAAGCTTCCCCTCACAGTACTTGACCTGTTAATGATGGGTAGGCAAAGTAAATGCCTTGGATGGTACCATGTCAGATACAAAGATGCAATGTCACCAGCACTACAAGTGAACGTGTTTCATGTGTTTACAGTGAAGACAGCATCACATAAGGCATAGGAAACCAATATTTTGAGGCATCGTAGGGTACCTTCCTCAAGGGAACATAGAGACACATGAAGTACATTCACTTGTTTTGGTAATTTCACACCTTTGTATCAGGTTGAAAATAGGTAAATGTCCACTGAGTTCAACTAAGATTCTTTAGAAAAGTAAAGATACCTATAGATAGCACCATTTTTTTTTCTTGTCAATATATTTCCTGCTGATCGCAGGTGCAGTGCTAGGCTCCTGCAGACTGTCAGTATAGCTATCTGCCTGTACCTCCCATATGGTCAGGCAATTACTGAGGTCCAGGATGATCAATGAACTACGAGAACACCCCTGCAGTTCACTGAGAACTATAAGCTGTCAGCAGCAATGGCAGTTGTAGTTCATGTATTCACAAAACTCTGTGAATGATTGACACGGCCAGGTGGATACAGACCTGCACGGCAGCACTTTTTTTTTAAATTGTGACAGCGGGTGTGGAAAGAGGATCTACCGCCTGCTGTCACAATGGACGATGGGGGGGTGGGAGTTGCTGATTTAGTAACATGGTACATTTTACACCTTAAACACGGGTGTAACATGTAACATATTATGAAAGGTCAAGAAAAACAGAGGATAAGTGAGCGCTTATGTGATAGTATATAATGTATAATAAGCAGCAGCTGTACACCCAAAAGGCACCGTATCAAACCTTCAATAGCATATATGTGAACAGGGAGGTGCAGCGCTGTATAACCAAACAAATAATAATTACACAATAGTGAACAGTGACTGTAAATTAGTAATGCCACTATATGGTGGCTCCAGGTGAAGAGAGTGAAAAACAGTCCAGTGAAGGAGTGCTCTTAAGATCCAGGGTGATCTTCAGACGTCCAATATACAGGACCATCAGGTGATAAAATATAAAGACTGCGCACTCACCAGATACGCAATCTTTATGCGCATTTGTGTAAAATTATCACTAGGCCTCCTGTATCATCATCCTGGTCTGGTCAGATCTGGTCAGCATATCCCTCATGGCCCGGTAACTGGATGGATGCAGCTGTTCCGTAGACTTGGCCGGTTCTCACCAGAACTCAAATAAATAGAAAGGGCCACATAGTGTAATATCCTCAGGTATCTTTATTGAAGGCACAGGGTAGCAGAAAATCCAACTTACAAAAAATACTGACCCAGGTATAAATCAAAGATGGCCGCCGGGGCCCCTCGTGGCGCCGGCGGTGAAGCGTCCAACCTGCTGTAGCTATCCCTGACGCGTTTCGAGCGAAGGCTCGTAGTCATAGGGGTGCAGCCCTATGACTACGAGCCTTCGCTCGAAACGCGAACCGGCCAAGTCTACGGAACAGCTGCATCCATCCAGTTACCGGGCCATGAGGGATATGCTGACCAGATCTGACCAGACCAGGATGATGATACAGGAGGCCTAGTGATAATTTTACACAAATGCGCATAAAGATTGCGTATCTGGTGAGTGCGCAGTCTTTATATTTTATCACCTGATGGTCCTGTATATTGGACGTCTGAAGATCACCCTGGATCTTAAGAGCACTCCTTCACTGGACTGTTTTTCACTCTCTTCACCTGGAGCCACCATATAGTGGCATTACTAATTTACAGTCACTGTTCACTATTGTGTAATTATTATTTGTTTGGTTATACAGCGCTGCACCTCCCTGTTCACATATATTATGAAAGGTGAACCTATACTTTAACATGTGACAAATATTATCCACTTTAAGAACCTATTGCTAAGTGTGACATTTAGTATGTTTTAGGTCCCCTTCACACTGTTCCAGTAAACTGCACACGGACGTGGGTTGTTAAGGCAGCCCATTCATTTCTAACAGGTCACCACTGTGCTAAAACCAGATGTACTTTTTTCACAACTGATTCGCAGGAGAATGGCACCACCATATATTGCACATATATTGCATGTTACTGCAATGCACTGGTGTAAAGCTAGAATCAATTTCTGAATGTGAATAGTGTCTCTATGTACCATTCCTTCTACCTTGCATATAACAAATTAAATTCAATCAAAATGTGGGGTTCAAACAGGGGAAGACACCAAAAATGTTCTGACAACTTTCTGGCTGTTTAAAGGGTTAATTATACCAAACCTGCATGTGGAATCAATGTTTTCAAAGGAAAGAAAAGAACAGAGTCCAAACAACCTAAATAGGTCAATTAATGTGTAAATGGTGCAGCTGTGCTATGTATATTTATATGCATTTAAACACATACACACATTTGTCTTGCTTCCAAACATTTCAGGTATTATAAACCCACACACTATCATAGTGACACTATACTGACCTTTGCCATGCAGAAGCCTCACAATTAAAAAAAAATAAACAACATTTTGCAATTGGATTTAAAGTGTACCTGTCAGCCAGACACAGTCAAAGTACTGTATGGAATAGGCCAATATTTTGATAATTGATTTATAACTGCTACTTACGTTACCCATATAAAAACAGAAGTCTTTGGTTTTCTAAGAAGCCACTGTTTACAGATGAATTTAAAAAAAAAAAAAAAAGTCTAGATTGTGTAGGATCTTAATGGTTAACAATACTTTTAGGTGTGTCCAATCTGCATTTGCGATCAGTTTGAGACACTTTTGAGATCAGAATTTAATGGCAGGTATACTTGCCATTTTTGCATTCCCATTTGCTTGCACGGGGAAGCAATTTCTTAAGCAAATTAACACAGGCCCAAGTTCATCTATTTCCACAAACCACTGCCTTTCTTGTTTAGACAAGGTGCTGAAGAAACAACAATTTTTTTTTTTTCCAACTAGAATTTGGCCCATACAAATGACATTCACACCAGATGCAGTGAGATGGATTTTTGACTGCACACAGCCCAAACTCCAGGTTCTCCAATAGTTCACATTGCAGTGCAGTAAAAAAGTACAGCAATCTGCATTTTTTGGAAATGCATTGCAAATGTACACAAATGTATGTAAATACACCATCCTGCAGTGCACATAAAAGCCCAAAGAAGAAAGAAACACGGAAGTGACCTCAAAAAGCCCAAAGAAGAAAGAACACGGAAGTGACCTCAAAGGAAATGCAAGCTTAGGAAAAACATACTAGTGCATGCAAATGCACGTTAAATGCACATCAGTGCGCATTCAAAAATGTGAAGTAAGCATTTCTTTTGTGAATGGGACCTAAAACCCCTTCTATCCTGTGCACTAGTTTTTCTTTTTCTTCTTTTACAGGAGCCACATAGCTGAAAAAATCCTGCAAGTAGCAAGATTAACCCCTTCCAGAGCAGGATGACCTTCCCAATCATGTGATCACTGTAACTGGCTGTCACGCCACTCTATGGTGAGACAGGCTCCCAATCACAAACAGAGATTGGTAGTTGTCTGTGAAAGCTTGGTTACTGTGCTGGGAGTCCACAATCAGTGCGCTTCTCAGAACAGAAACCTTGGCCAGCATGGATGTACATGTGTTGATGCAAAGGACCACCTCCTTGCTGCTGCGTTATGAGGTTGGCAAAGGGATAAAAAAAAGAAAAATAAACCCTGCAGAACACAGCCAGTTTAAAGTATAGCTAAAGGCAAAACTTTTCTCAATCAGTGCATGGCCAGCTGTAAGGTTTCAGTGCAATTTAAAGTATAACTAAAGGTAAAACTCTTTTAGTTTTGGATAGAGTGGAGAAGGATTAGAACACCTGTCAGGTTTTTATTGCTGTCTGTGCCCCTTCTGCTCTATTTGTCCTATTTACCATTATTGTCAAAAGTGAAAATGAAAGAAAAATTCCAAATTCTGGGTTGTCCCCAGGACAGGAATAGTGGGGATTTGTCTTCCAATGGGGACACTAGTTCTGGTGACTGTGGTGACAACCTGAGATTCCCTCACTTTAGATGGATTTTCTCTCCATTCCTGTTTTGGCTATGGGACGGGAAGTGAAGTGAAGTGAAATCTCCCCAATGGGACACAGATGGCCAAAATAAACCTACCTCCTTACTCTATCCAAAATGAAAAAAAGAAAAAAAAACATTTCCTTTAGTTCTACATTAATGGTTTATGGAAATACATTTACTGCATAAAAGCTTGCTAGTCATTTAAACATAAGCAAACCTCCTGTAGTTAAGATATTTTTCAAAAATGTGAAGATTTTTTTTTTTAATCAAATAGAAATTTTAGCAAAACTTCAATGTATTATTGAAATTAATAAGTGGTTTTAAAAGTAACTGATAGAATTCTGCACGTTCGACTCCTTCTAAAATGAATAACCGATTGCGAAAACAAGACAGGAGTTTATTACGACCAATGTAACAAACATGACAATCCTGACTTGTCAAGGACTATTTTAATGCAAGAATTGGGATGTACAAATCTCTTGCAAATCTTTAAGAACTAATTTTCTTTATTTTATATAATCACCTAGGGAAAAAAAATAAATGAATAAAATAAATTACTCAGAATGTTTTTGGTTTCCTATCAAGTTGTCCTGTCCAGAAACTGCCGGCAAGCCAGCACTTTGAAGATTTTCTCAGAATTAATTCCTGAGAAACCAAAGATGCATATGGAAGTTTATATGAGACTAGGAACAAGGCTACTGGCTCACAGATGTTAGAGCTGATACTTTATCTTGATACAAGACCTCTTTAAAAGAAATGGGATGAACGAGTTCTGCTTTTTCATGTTTGACTCTGAGGACCAAATAAACGTTTTACAAAAGAGTGAAAGCAATATTTAGTACTCCAATCTGACCGGAGCAGCTGCTGGAGAATTGGCGTTTCAAAGAGACGTATTTCTATAACAGGGGATTCCAAATCAGTATTCTGGGACCACTGACAAAACATGTTTGCCAGAGGCCTTCACTAAAATGTTTAACAATTAGTGTACTTCTTTAAAGGAAACCTATTATGAGAAAATATGTAGGCTGGCTTCAGGCGACTATGCACACTGCTAGTCGCCTGGCTGTCTCTGCTTTCAAAATTTTATGATTTGAAAAACTATAAAAAACATATAGCCAGAAAAGTCAGAACTTTTGGTGAGCATTCTTATGCTAGGTCAATGACTCAAAATATTCACATAAGCAAGCATTTGTTTTTTTAAATAGGCAATGGCAGAGTACTGACTTTTCCCTCCCCCCACAGCACCTTGGGAGTATCATTTCTTTTCCAATATTTCCCTTTAATTATACACTGAAAAATAATACAATAGCCATAGCATTTGAGTGGCACTCAGGTGCAGAGATCTCATTACTGTCCTCATTGGAGGACATAAGGAGTAGATATGCAATTCTATTTGCTGGCAAATATTACTTTATAATTAATATTCACAAACATTTATGTCAGTTACCATACCAGTACATCATATGAATCTGACATTTCAATTCATCAATGTAGATTTTACAGTATCAGTGTAAAAGAAAAAATCATATCAATGTAATTACATTCAGGAGAATGATGAAACTGTCAGAAGTGGTGAGAGCCACACTACCTAAGCAGATAGACCTATTCAGGTCTATCTACACCACCGAAGCCAGTTTCTATTTTTTTTTTTTTTTAGAGAGAAGTAGTAACTAGAGCAGGTCTTCCCCTAATTAACAGAGAGAGAATAAGGCAGTTTTCTATATAGGATATTGGCAAAGATTCCTTCCAGGTGTGACCCTGTTGCATGGGATGTGATCTGTCAGAAGCACCGATCACTGTTGGCCAATCAGTGATCACATGAGCAGTAGTAAACAAGATGTCACTTCCTGACATCACTGCTTACTATTTGTGAAATATGTGAATGATCGCAGAGGTCACATGGTACAAGGCTATTCACAACAGCTTTGTACCACGTGACAAGCTGTGACCAATCACAGCTCTCACAGTATTTCTCAATGGCTGCAAGAATGCAGCCAGAAAGCAATAGAAATTATAGCTTTTACAGCCTTTATGGGTGTAAAAGCAATCAGTGTAAAAAAAAGACCCCCTAAGTAGTACAGTGTCACTATGGTGACACTGTACTGCTAGGGCAGTGGTCGGCAAGCCGCGGCTCGCGAGCCACATGCGGCTCTTTACAAACTTTAATGCGGCTCTTCTGTGTGCCGGGCGCCCGCTTTCCCCTCCCTCCCTCCTCTCGGGCGGCCGCCCCAAAAGTCAGGATTCTGCAGCTAGCCCAGCAATGGGCAAACTACGGCCCGGCAGACCTTTTAATCCGGCCCGCGGAGCGTGGCAAACATTGGCTGTCAGGATGTAGGCGGGGCAGCCAGGATGTAGGCGGGGCAGCGTGACGAACTCCTCTCCTCTCACAGTCCGCCCTGAAGACCGGAACGGCGCGGGAACACGTCGAGAGAAACGCGCGGAGCAAAGGTAAGTGAATTGACACAATATGGGGAATGAATTACTATAGGGGGGATGAATTACTATAGAGGGGATGAATTACTATGGGGGATGAATTACTATGGGGGATGAATTACTATATGGGGGATGAATTACTATATGGGGGATGAATTACTATATGGGGGATGTATTTTCAGTTTTAAAAATGTGGCTCTCAAAATAAATTTCAATCGTGGTTTTGGCAAGATTTGGCTCAGTTGAAAAAAAAGGTTGCCCACCACTGTGCTAGGGTGACAGTATGTTAAAAAAAAAATCACATAATAATATAAAAAAAATAAAAATGTAAAAAAGAATTTAGAAAAACTATAACATTTTTTCTTACAAACTAATTTGGGTTTTTTTTTTTTTACTAAAAAGATAGCTGAATACATTTTGGTCAAGATTTATGAAGAAAGATTACTTATTTGCAAAATTTTATACGAAAAACTTTTTTTTCTAAATTTTTTTACTTTTTCATTTATATAGCAAAAAAATAAAAATCCCAGTGGTGAATAAATACCACCAAAATAAAGTCTAACCGGTCTCAAAAAAATGCTAAAAAATTCATATGGGTACAGTGTTGCATGACCGCGCAATTGTCATTCAAAGTGTGATAGCGTTGAAAGCTGAAAATTGGCCTGGGCAGAAAGGGGGTGAAAGTGTCCGAACTTGAAGTGGTCAATAGCAAAAAGTAAAAAATATAGTTTTTTTTTTGCAAAATTGTTGATTTTTTTTTTGTTTATAGCGCACAAAATAAAAACTGCAGAGGCGATCACATACCACTGAAATAAAGCTCTATTTGTGGGGAAAAAAGGACATAAATTTAATTTAGGTGCAGAATTGCATGACCGCACAATTGTCAGTTAAAGTAACGCAGTGCCGTATCGCAAAAAATGACCTGGTCATGAAGGGGGGTAAATCCTCTGGAGGGCAAGTGGTTAAGTAATGCCCTTTTGTAATCAACTGTCTGCTGGACATCTGTTAAATGAATACTGACTCCCCTGTAGCTGAATTTTTGTTAACTAGGATTTTGTTGTCTAAAATTTAGCTTTGCGCCTAAGATATTCATTGGGGTGTATTCATTTTTGCAACATCTTGAATGATTTTGTTAGGAAAAATATTTTTTGTGTGTGCAAATCAATGGCATTTGTGGGAATATTTTATAGTATAGTGTCACATAGAAAATGTTGATTCTGAAAGTAAAGATTTTATGACAAATCTGTGGGGGTGTACTCATTTATGCTGAGGTGTGTGTGTGTGTTTATTTTATTTTTTACATTTTTATTTTGTTAGTTATGTTAACTTTTCCCTGAAAACAGAGGAAGGACTTTTACAGTGGAAATTTTGAGAACACAGAAGCTTCAATCCTCACAGCAAGAAAAGAAGCTCCAAATATGTGTGCTGCCAATAGAACAGAAGCACAGGAGGATTATGTTTTGGGAAGGAGAATGATTCCGTTGCTGAGAGTCAGTTTGAGTAATGTACAGTGGCAGATAGAAAAAGGAAACATTATATCTATTTCCTCACACAGTGGGCTAAGCTAAACTAATCATCTCCTCCTGTTTCAGCCTTTTATGTTTCTGCTGCGATCAAAGACAATTTAGGGCTCAACAGTTCTTCATTGAACTACAACTTCCAGCATCTTCTGTCACAGAGTAATACATCAGTGTATTTCCCACATGTACATTAATATCTCCACTTGAAAATTCTTTACCTAATACTATCATTCTTATCAACACAGTGGGGCTAAAGCAAGTTTCTAAGTAACAGAGCTGTGCACAAAGTAGTGTTGTCAAAAGTACATTGCTTTCATCAACTGAATTCCCCCTTCAAATTTGAAGTCGTCAAAACAATGAAAGTGAATTGCTGATTGATCAGTACATATTTCTGCATAATGTACACTGCTGTTAAAAAGGATATGAACTGTTGAAGCTGTGCCCCCCACATTCAAAGAAAAAAAGCAAGCAGATGGCAAAGGGCTAGTCACTAGTATTACCTGTTGGCTTCCTACATCTAATATTTTCTCACTACTGACTTAACATGCCCTGGTCTGCACTTTGTCTCTTTGTGGAGGCAGCCATCTTGGTAGATTAACTGGACTTTGCTTCCTCAAGTCAGAGTTGTCTTCCTGCTAAAAGGTGATCTGATACTTTGGGAAGTTAAAGCAGAGTTCCACTCACTCTGTAAAAAAAATAAAAGTCAGCAGCTACAAAAACTGTAGCTGCTGACTTTTAAAAAAACAGCCACTCACCTGTCCCATGATCTCGCGATGCCCCCCGCTGCAGCCCGTTTCACTGGCTGTCCTGTATTCCAGGCGCCGGCATCTTCGGTGTGCCCACTGCACATGCGTGAGTAGTGCTGCGCTTCCTGAATGGACCTGTCATCTTCTGGGACCTGTTATGTGTCCCACAAGACTAAGGGGAGGGAGGGTAGAAGGACAACTTCCGCTTCTGATCGCCTAGGTGATCGCAGCGGAAGTGGGAGCGGGTACCTGTCAATTTCTGGTACCCGCTCCCCAAAGGTGCCAATCCTTAATGGGGAGCGGGGGACCAATCTTTAAAGAGGAACTTCCCCTTTTGGGTGGAACTCCGCTTTAATGATCAAGAAGCAGCAGTAGCGGCGCAGAATACACAGATCCAGAAAATAAATGGCGCAGAAACAGGGAGATCATTGCATTACTTTCCCTTAGGTACAGTTTCCTCTCCAGCAAACATTGAGAAGCATCACCAATTCTAACTCCAAATCTTCAAAAAAAAAAAAGTTGGTGATCGGATACAGATACAGTAACCACTGTATTATCTCACACAACATACAGTATATCAAGAAATTAAGCTACAAAAACAGGAGTACCTGGTTCTTCCTCACTGATAAAGTAATGACTAGTGAATACCACTCTGCATAGCAGTAATGTGAGCCCAGGCATATAGTAGGACGCATCCCAAGGAGGTATGTTCACGCCTCCCTGGACTCACAGGTAGTGGGTTGAATGGCACCAAGTGTCATTTAACTGGAATGAAGACTTGTGCTGTGAGGGAATTTGAGATACCCAACACTGGAAAGAAGGTGACTACTGTAGTAAAAGCTTCCTTTTTTTCTGAACTTGCTGGGCAAATTTATTTGAATTATTTCTAAACCCTAGAGTTTGGTTTTTAAACAGTTACAGCTGTGCCAAATGATCCTATAACAGGGGTAGGCAACCCTGGGCACTAGTGCCAGAGGTGGCATGCGACAGCATCAAGGACGGCACCCATAAGGGAGTCCTAGGAGACCCACCCCCAAACAATAAAGCAGGCCAGCGGCTACATGCAGAAGAAGCAGAGTGGCTGGTGCCTGCCAGCCCACCTCTATTCCTGCTGGTGTTGGTTCCTGCGTTGCTCTCTCCACAATGAAGCTGTGTACAGTCTGATTCCCCAGGCTGCTTGTTCTCACTTTGGAAGGGTCATTATATTCAGTATTTTTTCTCCTCTGTGGTACAGCACTCTTTTAGCCTGAGCCGGCTCATGGCCAGGCTTTTACCATCTGTGTACCTGCCTCAGCAACTATGCGTCTGGCTCAACTTGAAGGGGATACAGCCAGAGAGGTTTATCTTAAAATGGCTATTAACCCCTTCCACAGGAACCTTTTATGAGTAACTCAATGCAAAGAAGGATTTAATGTGGAGGGAAAAGGTTTTAAAGGCTTTTCTGAGATAACAGCTATTAGGAACTACTAATTTAGGCTACATTTGCACAGGCATTTAGCAATGGTGCAAATGGCAGCAACAAGAATCTGCTGATTCCGGCTGTTTTGACACCAGTGAGCTGTTAGCTACAGCTACCAATGATAGGTTACTGGGAGCTGCAGCTATTGATCACTGTTCACAAAGTCAGTGATTACCCATGGTGATGGCTTCTGAACACATACTTTGTGTGCATTCATCAATGATCACCACAGGTTGTGTAAACAACCACAAATAGCTATGGCCACCGGCAACTTGTCATAAAAGTGTACTGTACTGGCTCAGTGGCTGCAGCTATAAGTTCTCAGGTGTAAAAAACAGCAGCAGGAAAAAGCAGATTCCTGCCAATGACATTCACCATGGCATCCAAATAAAAGGAACTACTACTTTAAAACAAGGCTTGGTAACTACTACTTTAAAACTTTTACTGGGAACTACAACTTCAGAAGAGATATTGGTAACTACTACCTTAGAAAAAAGAATCAGGAACTGCAGGAAATGGGACTCAATTCTTCTATTGTATGGTACAGGTGGTGCTGTCTTGACTGGAGCATTGGCTGGTGTTCATTTCTAGAGCATCTATGTGGAAACAGCTTAGTCTATGCCAGAAGGAGCAGGAATTGGGGCTGATCTGAGGTGTGAAGGTGCAGGAATTGGGACTGATCTGAGGTCTGGGGGTTCAAGAACTGGAGGTTATCTGAGGCTTTAAGGAGCAGGAATTGGGGGTGATCTGAGGCCTGAAGGCACAGAAATTGTCATTGGAGGATGGGGTGTGAAGTTTCAGGAATTGGGAGAGCTGAGGTGTGAAGGTGCAGAAATTGGGGCTGATCGAGACCTGGAGGTGC